GGGGGGGGGGGGGGGGGGGGGGAGGGGCTTGCGAGCGAGAGCGTGAGTACGCTCTCCGTCCAGCTGTGCAGCAAAGATCGAAGCTAATTCAAGCGGAGCGTGTACATGCACGTGTGTGTCTTGAGCTGTACGTAGCGCCCATCGTTCCAACCGGCATACCAAAGAAAAGGCGTCAGTCTTGCTGCGGGAGAGCCTCGCGCCCTTTGTTGATAAAGTAAGCATAGTCTCACAGAAAGCTATTGTACCCGTTCGAGATATACCCGCAGTCGGAAGGGATGTGCTGAAGAGTTTGCAGTGAGGGGAGGGAAACCGCCCTTTCAAGGAAGACAAGACGATAATCTTGATGGTTTGTCTAGGATGTGAGAGGATGCCCAACGAAGAGAGCTGGTGGCACCGCCGGTACTACTCCGCCTCTACTTCGGGAAGCCGCGAATGCTCAAGCTATCAAGTTGATGCACAAAAGAAACGCACGAGCCAGATCGTTGTTTTAGTGTGCTGGCGGGACTGATCGGGTAGGGCCACCACGCCTTGTCCGTCCAAAAGAAGATGAAGGCAAAGGTGCGCCGTTTGGTGAAGCATCTGCACCAGTCTTGTGTGTGTTTTCGGCCCCTCTGCAGTGTGTGGACGGAGCTGGGACTGACTCGTACGGTCAACAGGAGCTTGCCCGACGGTCGCGGTTGGCAGGTGCCTGTCCGCACACGAAATTTACAGAAAGATCGCGTCACCACAACGTGCTCCCTCGGATCGCCACGAAACCGTCAAGGCTGTACGCACCACAGCTGCAGGCTTGTTGGACGCCTATTGTGATTGCTGTGGGATCTGTGTGGGGCAGGTATGTTTTTGCAAAAGCAAGAATCCATCTGAAATTGTGGTCACGGGTGTACACGGGGAATAGGGGAAATATCGGCGGGCAAACTCTCCACGCGGATTGTTGCTTTTGCAAAAACATTAACTAACAACTCTGGCCCCACACAGATCCCACGGCAATCAAAATAGGCTTCAAGCAAGCCTACAAACGTGGTGCGTAACGCCTTCAAGGGTTCATGTACATCCGACCATCACGGCGGGAGCACGCTGTGGTAACGTGGTCAGAGGCATTGTCTTCATGTGGATTTTCGTGTACGCGGGGGGGGGAGTACCTACATACGCCATTCGTGAAAGACTCCATCGGGCCAGCCAATTCTCGTTGACAATAAAGAGTCAGCTTGAGAACACGGGGCCATGACCCCCATACTCCTCCCTCACACAGGCCACGGCTTGGCACCCAAGTGGTGCCAAGAAAGCCATGTCCTCGACCCGTGTTGCTTTTTCTTTCTAACAAACAAGAGCAAGGCTGCCCGCAAAACCTTGGAACTGAAACCGTTCCCGGCTGCAACAGGCGACTCTCGCGGTGATTTTTTTCACGCCAATGGTATACCTCCCCCACAGAGTCTCCCCAGGTTGACCAACACTCCCACCGCGTATAAAGCAAGGCCCATGGAACACGCAGCTGGCATGGAACACGAGAGCTGTGGGAACATGTCTCGCCGATAAGAAGGCGTCCTGCAAGTTTTCCCCGGCAACAAAACCATCTCAATTGGCGGCCAAGCCAAGAACGCAACAACAAGAACAAAAAATGAAAAGTTGGCATGAACCCGTGCTTGAAAATGATCCATATTCAGGTGCCAGTTGATCCGTAGGGTCAAACAAAAGCGGCGGCCTCTGTACAGCTTTGGAGCAACAACGCTCCAGCGGGGTGTGACGGGTACCCGGGTGTGTGTGCACAAGATGGGGGGAATGCCGCCTATGCTTTGAAGCCAGAGTTGTCATCGTGGGGTATCCAAAGTCATGTTGTTAAGATCAACTGGCTTTGAACACGCATGGCGACCTCCTCCGACAGCGAGCTACTGCTGTAGCGACACGTGTCTTCCTGAGGGTAGGTCTGTTGCTGCTACAAAAACAAACTGAAGAGTCGGCGTGAGCCGGTTTGTTCCTCGTGTACGGTACATGGAGATCTACAGAGTAACCTTCGACGCTTGCACCTTGAAACATTTTGCAGCGCATGGGGCAGCAACAAACCAGCTTTTCATGTGCGAGCTGGTGTAAGTACAATGATGCGCCCGCGATTCAGCAACCGGAATCAAGCAGTCAGCAGCAACACGCTCACTGCCGGCATCTCGGCGCTAAAATTCACTGCTGTCGCCTGCGAAACATGTAAAACTCATGTTGTCGGTTGTCTTCAAGAGTGCTGCTGAGGAGTTTTTTCCGAAAACATGCAAGTCATCTATCGCCGCCTCAAGACCAGCCGAAATGCCAAGTTGAGTGGTGGAGGATCGGGTACCAAGCTCGCCACGACCATGCTTCCTTTCGTCGCAGGTAGCTGATTCATGTGTGTCCCGCTCTCCATCGATACGCCAGAGGTACGAGCCCTTAGGTCAGCGCGCAGCGCACAGCCGCTGACACGTTGCACACACAGACCGCAACCCCGACCCAACCAAACCTGGCGTATCTGTGTGTACTGCTGCAGCACGCCATGGCGCAAGGGCCTCACGATCAAAGCAACACCTCTCCTGCCGGGGTGGAGTAGTAGTTGGTACCGCCCTACCCCCACGCATGTTGTCGACTGCTGTACGGCTGCTGCAGCAGGCGGCAGCGTCCTGTCCTCACCTTGGGGTTAGGGCCGGCCTTCATGCTGAGAGCTGAAGTTGCTCGCGCGGCGGCGCCGTGTGAGCTCCTTTGTCTGAGCGCCGGGTTGTTCACCACGAAGCCGCACACATGCTGCTGGCAGGCGAGGCCCCACAGGGAAACGAAAGCTGCTGCTGTCCTCATGGCGGTAAGTAGAGTTTAATGTTTGCGACCGCACGGCCAGCATCGGGGGACCCGCGGCTAAAACAACGACAACTTCTACATCCCATGTCATGTCCCAGATACGGGTTTGCGGAGCCTCTAGGATCTTTTGACCCGCACCGGTGGCGATCTTTCTCTTGTTGTCTCTCTCCCCTGCGCTCATCCACTAGCAATGCACCATTGCCAAACCTACACGGCCAGGGACAGGAGCGTCACGATGGCAGTGCTGTCTTGATGCATGCGGAGGCACCGACAACAGCGCGTGCGGAAAAATATCTTCCACAACAACATCGGGTATCCAGGTACTTCCATGCCTCAGAATACCATGCTCCGGGTAGGCTGTCACAGCAGAGAGAGACGCGCCATCGACAGCGTTGTAGCGCCTTGTGAACTCGATTGCTGCGAATGAACAAAACTAACGTTGGGCGTTGCGTCGAACTGTGTCGTTCTCATCTCTTGGCATATCACCCAAAGCACAGCACGCATGAAAATGTGTCTGTCGCTGTTGTTGTGGATCTCCGGCGCACCGCAGTGTTCTATGTGCATGCCATGTACTACTGCTGTCGTATAGGTACTCGCCGTATGAGCTGGGGGTAGGACCTGAGTTGATAGGCACTTATCTGGTCAAAGGTGATCTGTGAACGCCATGCGGTGTGGTATTTGTGTTTGGTTATATCGCACAACCTACACGGCTGTACCTCAAGATTTCGCACATACATGTGTCATGATCTCCACTTCCCTCTCCAGGGTAAGGAGAACAACAATACATCTGGGTGGACGACCCTTCTCTGCTGTTTTTTGTAGAATCCTGACAATTGACGACACGACACCATGGGGGGCGGAGCGTCATCTGCTGCCGCAGAACAGATGGAGGAGATGATCGCCTACTCTACGCTCTTGAGCAAGACCATTACGTGCATGACTTTTCCAGGTACAGATCGGCGACACCGCAGCAGCATCCTTCGCACGGTTTTTCGTATTATGTAAACATATTGGATAAAGCGTTACGTACAATCGGGAAAGTTAGAGTAGGGTTGGGGAATAGGGTCTTAATCCCCTGTTCTCTTTACTCATGAACTTAACAATCGCGCGAAGGCGGTCCGACACCATGGCCAGCCGTCCGCATAGAGCCTACACCTGACCTCCGGCTGCCATAAGTAACACTCGTTCTATGTGGTTCAGAGGGCGAATACAATGCCGGCAGAGGGCATTATGGTGTGCCGGGAAAAGGAGCCAATGAACAGATTAATTTGTACTTCGTATACAATAGAGGGCCTGAGCAATCTGCATCCAGACACCAGAATAGATGTACTGTAGGCTAGAACAATGTGATACCGAACCTCATGCGACAGACCCTCGCCTTACAAGGTCGTTCGGTGCTTGTGAAACACACAGCAGTAGTAGTGGACCCTCAATCAAAACGGTATGGACCCGACGAATCGACTGGCACTAGTCAGAGGGACCGGCGCTATTCCACGTAGAGAATGACTTGGTGGTTCAGCCTGTGCCCAGCAATTTCACCGGCGCCATGTAGCTGGCGTTGTTGACCCCCGCTACCTGTACGTCGAAAAATACTGAAGTCGATTCACCTCGCTCGTCCTGCCGTTTCCAGGCATGCACAGCATCAAGGACTTCAACTTGCTCCCGAAGAAGGACAGTGGTGCCAGCATGCTCAAGAAACGTGAAGGTGCTTCCGTAACCACGGTTATTGTGGACTGGGCTCGGGCGTTTGGGGGCTAGAGGCACCTCTCGTGTGGCTAAGACTCCCGCGCTTTGCTCATAGCAGTAGGCAACCAGTGGGGCTATGACCTCACCGGCCTGTGTCTGATCCACCCGTGTGTCCCCTGTCGAATGCCATTCGTGCTCTGGTCGATATGTAAAATTCTGCACGTTGAACACCTCGTACGCGCCCAACGTCAAAGAGAGCGGTCGAAGCACGGCCGCCACCGACAGCTTCAGCCGCACCAGCAGCGGCAGCGAGGGCCCACCCCCGCTGCTCGACCCCGAGTTGGAGGATAAGTTCACTGTGGTGGTGGACGGGGAAGTCGTTGTACTTGACGACGTCACGCAACAGGCGAGACAACTGCATAAATCGCACGGGGTAGACATGCTGCGGTGGAAAAAAAGCAACAGGCTGAATAGATTATGCACGAAGCTAGCTGCCCTTGCCTTCGGATTTCTTACATCCGTGTGTGCCCCATAGAGTAGGGTCATCTTCGAGAGCGGAGAACGATCAGTTTTCGTCAGCAGCCTCAACAGGCGTCTTGACACGTTTGTGGTAAGCGTAAGCCGACAGATTAGGGCGTTGGCGATGTGATAGACCCCGCCCCCCATGCTCGGCCTAAAGTAAAGAACAATCTCTCGCGAGCATAGTCCATCGACGCTACAGCAAATGGTCAAGCTTCGTGCTTGTGGTGGTAGACATATTACTTTCGAAGGATACTTTCACGTGCGAGATCGTTTTTATCCTGCCGTCCCGCCGCATAACAACGCATCACGCGGACTGGCGCTTCCTTGCCAGCAGAATGAGGACGGATGGACGCCCCTCCACGCGTGCTGCCACAGCGCCACAACGGCCGCGATCGGCCTCAGGATTCTGGAGGTAGGGGGGGGGGGGTAGAGCCCCTTGTCAAAGGAACCATTATGTGTACGTATATCATTCTGAACCATTTTCGCGATATTGTTGGCGTTGAATGAGCGTCGTTAGATGCTTCCGGTACGCGACTAAAATGGATGCGTTTGTATGCACCGGAACTTGTTGGGTATGTATGAAATACACCTCCGATGTGCTTCCGTGGGCACTCGAGAGAAATTCTCTGTGATCACGACCCCCGGAGGGTTCTCTCTGCAACCGCAGGAAGTGGTGGCCATGGGCGGAGATCTGAACCTAAGGACAAAGAGGGGTCCAGGCAACTTCAACTCGGGCTTCACTCCACTGCACATGGCCTGTGCGTACGGGTAAGTGAGAGAGAGAATGTAATCAAAGCGCTTTTCGTAGACCGACCGAATCGCAAGATTGTACCAGGCAGCAGTACGCGGATCGTTTCCATGTGTTCACGACGCGTAATGTTCCAGCGCCCGCCGGAATTTCGCGTCCTGGCTCGAGAGTTTAAGGTGGCTTCGTGGCACGGGATGGTGGAAGGTAGTTGGCGCCGACCCACACCCCCTATCCCACTTTTTACGTGACGTGCGATCGAGATAGACCCTGGAATACAAGCCCGGGGCTTGACAATTAGTCGTGTGTGCATAGAAAAAGAAGAATGAAGGAAAGGCTAATCAACAGTCAAGCTGTGACCCGCCAACGGAACCCGGCGGCACAATCGATGGAAGCACCACTCACTGCTGTACTGGCTTTGAAACTCCTCTACAGTAGTAGTAGTAGAAACGAACTTTTGGGGGGGCTGGCAGCTCAAGCCACGTCCCACTCGTCAGACAGAGCGTCTGTGTGACCATTCAAAGCCTAGAGCGCCACTCTCGTTCGTTCCTGAAAAACTTCTACAAAGCGTGAAGGAGCTTGTGGAGGCGCTCATCAAGGCCGGCGCCGACCCCAACTGCCGGAACGACTTCGACTGGGGACCCCTGCTGGTGAGCAGCACTCTTCGTCCGAGCGTTTGTGCCAAACGTGGAAGCTAAGCCAACTACGAAGCCTCTCCGTTCAGCCGCACACCTCCATTCCCAAAGAAGAAAGCCAGTCTCACGCTGCGTGCCACTGCTCACGTCGAAGCTTAACCCCCCCCCCCCCCTCTCCCCGGTGTTTTGCCATCGGGGTTGGGTTTTCGTCGCTTGGCCACGACGTTGTAAAACAAGCCGCCCCCCCCCGGGGTTTGCCATCGGGGTTTGGGTTTTCCTCCCTTGGCAACGACGTTGTAAAACAAGCCCCGCACTCGGTGTTTGCCCTCGGGATTGGGTTTTCGTCGCTTGGCAACGACGTTGTAAAATAAGCCAATTCACTTCGTGAACTCGGCAACCAGGTTACCGGTTTTTTTTTTTTCCTCGGTTTTTTTTTTTGGCGGTAACCATAATGGTGGTCGAGTAGATCATGTTGTGCGGGGTCGAAAAACCTCACTCCGCGCAACGGGGGATGATCGCACCACGTTGTGTCAAATTGGTCAAGCTTCCTCGAGGCAGTTACAAAGTGCTTACAACTGTCTCTGGAAGTGAAAGCACCAGAAAATAAATTAAGTCATACGTAGCTGTCATCCGTACGCAAGGAAGTAAGCACAAGATGCCGAACACCCTTAGCAGGATGCAGCTCACCCTTCATGCGACTCGCCAAATACCTCACGGCGCTTCGCGCTTGGTGATGTGAGAGCCTGGTCCGGTGAGAACCCGGCGTGCTCCGTCCCGGCTTTGTAGGGATGCGAGGTCAATGGTCAAACGACTACGGCATGCACGGCTATGAGTACACCCCCCCCCCTTGATGCCCCGTCCTCTCGAGGACGCGTAGTCAACGGCCTAACCGCTACAGGGCATGCGAAACATGAGTACACCCGTCCCCCCCTTCACTGAAGCCTTCTTCCGTCGTGAAAACTCCGCAACGATTTTATTGGAGCAGGAAGTTTGCCATCGTGGCTTTACGGCCATCGCCGCGCTGTTGGTGAGGGCTGGGGCGGACGTGGCCCACATCCCCGACGCAAAGGCTTCTTGCGGCGCGCACATCATGCGGGGGGCTCCGCAGTCTGCCCTGGGAGCGGCGGCCCGCGGGGGGTTTCAAACGGTGACAGTTACTACTGTAGCACTACAAGTCTACAAATAGCCAGACGTATGCTTCAGTCGGTCGGTGACAGCTAGAACAAGTACTACCGGAACACATACTTCAGTCACACGGTGACAGCTAGCACAACAGAGAAAGTAGTACATACCAGACAAATACTTCAGTCAGACCAAAACACAAAATAATGGCAGCGATTGGAATAGCGAGCATTGCTCTTTCTTTTTTTTGCAGTCCAAGAACTCACAATAGAATGAAGCGTTGGAGGTCTTTCATGGGCGGCTTCAAAGAGGTCTTCAATTTTCGGTTTTGGGGGAGGGCATGAATGAGACGAGACTGACATGAAGCTGGATGGACAAAGCAGCTGTGCAACATTCGCGAAAAGGTTTCTTCCTGTTGGTATTATTACTATTGTGGTTTTGTTGGTCATTGTTGTCCTCGTCTTTATTGCTTCTCGGCAGATCGTCGCCTCCGTTCGCTAGTCTGGTTTTGCGATGTTCCTCGGCGTTGCACTACGGCCATTGGAGCTTCGGCATGTCCATCCCCGGACTCAAATACAACCGGTTGCTCCCTCCCGCTTGGCAATCCCCCGAAGAACCACGCGCTCGTTTCAGTGGCACAGGCGATAGCGAGCTTCTTTCAAAACTAGAAGATGGTGCTTTTAGGCGCGCTCAAGCGTTTGTGGCCACGCAAATCAGAACCGAACGGGGAAGCGTTTCCACGGCCTGCTCGAGAACCACACAACACCCATCCAAGAAAACGTGTGATCAGCATACAACCAACAAGAAGGGAGGCGCGGGAATGGCACATTGCCATCCACCTTGAAAGCGTGGATCATCTCCATGACAAGACCTGACACACCAACCAACAACAACGGCACCAGCATCAACAACAGCAACAACAACAACAACAACAACAACAACAACAACAACAACAACAACAACAACAACAACAACAACAACAACAACAACAACAACAACAACAACAACAACAACAACAACAACAACAACAACAACAACAACAACAACAACAACAACAACAACAACAACAACAACAACAACAACAACAACAACAACAACAACAACAACAACAACAACAACAACAACAGCGTAGACAGCCCTCGACGTCCGCCGCCCAACTTTGTGCGTCAATTAACAACGAAAAACGTCAGATCTGCAAAATGCTCCTGGAGAACGAGAGCGACAAGGACCAACCGAACGGCATGGGGTGGACTCCGCTCCACGAGGCGTGCTACTTCAACCACCTCGACACCGTACAGCTGCTCCTGGTGCACGGGGCAGACCCTACGATAAAGAACGTGAGGGGAGGGACCAGAGTGGTTGGTTGCGCGCTGCACCATTTGGACGTGGTAGCCGTTGTGATAGGGGTACGTTTCCACGGGATATATGGCGTTGAAGTGGTAATGCGGTCGGACTGCGGTAAATCCGCACGGCACGCGGAAAGGAGATAGGTAGAGAAGATATCTGATTACGTGCGCTTCCGAAGAAACGCTTCGAGAAGGAGCCCACGGAGCGAATGGGTGTGGTCCATCGGATGAATGTATGTGTGCTTTTCACTTAGAACGGTCGAGACCAAACCGCTGGTACTTGGTGCCTCACAGAAAGTAAAGGACCCAGCGTAGGAAACGACACAACTCGAACGCCCCTCCCGACTCTGAAGCAGAACGGCGGCCACGACAACTCTGCCGCGGGACGTTTCACACACGCCTACCGCGCTTCCTACCTCCTCGATATGCTGCCTGCCTGCACAGGTGGCCTGGTCTGAGATACCAGGCTGCTACTAGAGAACACACCTATTTACCCTGCTGAGCGAACACCTTTGGCTTTCCGAAACACATGGTTCCCGCAAGACGTCCGACCGTTCTTCTACGCCTCCATAGACTACGACGCTGAGAACTGCATCGAAACGTGACGCATATCACATCGTGATCTTCATGCGACCTTCAGTAACCATCACAATCGCCACGGCGACGGCTGCTGCTTAGTGGTGTTTTTGGCGCCGCCGCTGTTGTGGCCGCGCCGTTTCGTTGTGGTATACCTCGCCCAAAACGACTATCTCCGTAGTAGCCCGAGGACTCACCTTTGGCAAAGTAGGAAGGAACTACTTGTCAATCGGTGATCGGTCCTGTGGGCACAATGCTCAATCCTCTCGAGGACGCGCTGTGAATGGTCCAACGACAAAGGCATGCAAAACATTAGTACGCCCCCTCCCCTGGCCATATGTCTGGTTTGGCACAGAAAACGTGAGGATGATTTGACCAGCTTCTGGTCCATGCTGGCACAACGCAGCCTGGGCCGGCGAAAATCCGGCATATCGCTCAGTCCGGGCATTGTAGGGATGCAAGGTCTACGGCCTAACGACTACGGCATGCGTTTGTATGGGTACACCCCCCCCTCCCCCCGACCCCGCTGCGACTCTCATCACGAGAATAAATTGGCCGGATCGAAACCGACCATGACCATCGTTCCTGCGGCACCGAAAAAATAGCCCTAGACCGCAAACAACACCAACACGCCGCCGGCCGTATCAACCCAAACAGGTCCAGGGGGCCATGCCGTACAACATGACGAGCTTCCAGCCCATCCGGGACCTGCTGCGGGAGATCGGGGGCGAGGAGGCGGCCAAGACGATGCCGACCCCGACGTTCTCCGTGTGCGTCAACGAGCAGGGGCAGATGTTCGTCCGCGTCACGGCCGGCGAGGTAAAAGAGCGTACATTTTCTGGCTTCGTCGTTGTCGTCGTCTGTTCGCTCGAGTTGTCGTTTGTTGTCCGGTTTCGTACTGGAGCGTCGTCCTCAACCTCTGCGCCTACCCTGCCCGGTCTTTCCTGACCGGCATTTGTAGGAGGATCTTGACGATTGTGATCCCCCCGTTGTAGAGCGCACGCAAGATCTGAGCGTTTCCCACCCGCACCATGACCCCGAGTGGACCCTGTATTGGCATCTCCACGACAAGCCACCACATGAAACAAAGATGACCCGCTTCGAGTTCTACACCCGTACCCCATAGTAGTTGATTCTATGATCATGCAGTGACGTACCGCCGTAGCCTTTCTATCTCAATCGTGTGAAGTCGGCATGGTTCCAAACCGGAAAAAAAAAAGAAGCTGGAAAGCATCACTATTACCTGCGGCTTTGCACTTCATTGACGGCGTTCTCCATTGGGATATTTTCCGGGTGATGATGATGGTGATCGGCTTGACATGTAGGCCGACAAGGAAGAGGAAAAGGCCGGGGGGGGAGGGAGGGGGTCCGCGGGCGGGGCTGCGGCGAAGAAGGCGTCTTCTCCGTCGAGGTCGCGGAGCCCCCAGGGCCGGGCCGGTAGCGGCGGCGGTGGTCCCGAGGGTGGCGAGGTGCTGCACAAGGGACCGATGCTGGGTGAACTTCCTGCACTAGGGAGGCCACCAGGTGTGTCAACGGCCCGGGGGGGGGGCAGGAACACCAGGCTGTAGGGTTTTGGGGGGGAGGGGAGGGTGCTCATAGCCGTGCATACCGTAGTCGTTGTTTAGACCATTGACCTCGCATCCCTGCAGAGCCGGGACGGGGCACGCCGGGTTCTCACCGGACCAGGCTCTCACATCACCAAGCGCGAAGCGCCTTGGTGGAGGGGGTGTTTTAATGTAGAAAGCTCGGCATTCACAGAGAGCCAGAGCCGGCGCTGTCATCACCTTGAAAGCTTGAGGCTTGAGCCGTGGTGGAGTGCAATCGCCAAAGTAGCTAAGTACGTTCATTCTTTTACAATACCAAGAGCTCCGTGCGATCCCAGCTTGCCTGAACCTTTATCGGTGCCTGTTCTTCAGTCGTCATAAATCGTTGGTGCCGTGACAAATCATTCCCGAGCCAGGCGAACACCGAGTGCGCCGCCACCCACTCTCCCCTCACTTGAAACGGGGTCATTCCTCATTTCCTCCCCTCCGCCGGCCCCCCTCTCTCGCGATCAATTAGTCTCAAGCAGCAGCGGAGGCGCTTCGCCGACGGCCTACGACTCCAAGCGCGACAGCGAGGAACGAAGGCACGACGGCGCGGGAGTCGGAGGAAGAGGAGGAGGGGGGGCAGGGGACGGTGCGGGGGGGGGCCCGGGCATGCACGAGGCCTCCAGAGATTCAAACTCGTTAGGCATGCCCGGAGAGACGGACGAGGGGCAGGCGCCGGAGGGGATCATCTGCCAGCTCTCGAAGCGGGTGGCGAGGGACCCCGTGAGGACTCCTTACGGGCACGTGAGCGAGGCGCCTACTGCTTGAGACGTTCCGCGGCTGTACATGTACATGCCTCTGGCTAAAGTATGATGTGGCTTGAAAACTTGCAGCCGACAACTCCCGTGTACCTGCCATACAGCGTTGTGTAAGGACCTACTACATGACCCCCGTGACAACACGATAAAAGATACACGTGGATCTCGTGTGTGTAGGATAAGAGAATGGTGGCGGTGTTGCTGAGAGACCTCACGACACCTCACAGACATCCGACCTATTCAGTATGCTTGGGGATGAGTACGTTTTACCCCGTACGTTTCACGCTAAAAGGAGCCTCTCCCCTCCCCCTCCCTCATTTCACTCCTCCCATTCAACGTAAACATATGGGACGTCGTCCGCTTCACATATGTCAAGGAGCCTCTTCCCTCCCTCCCCCTCTTTTCATTCCTCCCGTTCAACGGTAAAAAATTCGACGTCGCACGTTTCACACTAAAGGGTCCTCTCCCTACTTCCATCTCACCCTTTTCACTTCTACCCTTCAACAGAAAGTATTAGACGTCCTCCGTTTTACCCCTAAAGAGTCTCTTCCCTTTCCCTCCCTCATCCCTTTCGTCGGAAATGTAGCTGTTCGACCGGCAGATGATCGGGCTGTGGCTCTCCAAGCAGGGGAGCATCTGTCCGCTGACGGGGCAACCCCTCGTGGAGGCAGAGCTCAAGGCCGACGGCAAGGCTAAGGCCGAAGCGAAGGCGTGGAACGACGACCTTCTCGCCCAGAAGAAACACTCGGCTACAGCTGCCTCGGAGGGACGCGGGGGCTCTTCAAGCGCCGCCGCCGCCAATGGTGAGAGAAGCAAAACATCCGGAGGCAGGGCAGGGGAGGGGCAAATGGCGAAGGAATCGTCGACGGTGCGCGGGAAGGCGGACGCCGCCGCGGCGGTAGGTGCCGAAGGGCACAGCAGCAGCAGCGGTGGTGAGAGGAACGGCGCCGATCTCGAGACACCCGCGCCGGCGAAAGGCGCCGCCGCCGCCGCCGCTGGCAGAGAGCGCCGCGGTAGCAAGGAGGCCGAGAACAACGGCGACGATATCTACGACTTCTGACTAGAGGTCGCAAAATCTTTCACTCGTCGGTCGTGCAGCAGCTTTGTATTCTATGGTGGTCGTTGTCGCAGCTTCCACCGGTGGTGTGTCATCCTCGCAAATTCCACCGGTGAATCAACCAACAATGGCCGTTGCTGACCGAAGCCCGCCTATTTTTCTTCGAGGGCGGCTATGCAGACGCGCCCTCCAACGCACCGACCGTCATACTTAGCAGGGGCCATGCCTCAGCACTTCTTTGACACACGCAGCGCTCTTCCCGTTCGTGCTATGTAGTCCGTGCTCGTGTGGGGTGTCGTGGTGGAAATGTCTCATTCGGCTTGGAAGAACCCAACGGTTCACGCTCGTCGGCACAGCCTGTGACCATGAGCGGAAAGACTTTGGAAGACGGCGGTTCACGCTTAGCAAAATGGCAAGGGGCAATAACCCAAAGGCTTAACCCAAAGGCTTGTCTAATGCGTTAGCCTATTGCTCGTAGGCACAGCAGTTTGCTAAGATGAGCGAAAAGAACATGCCGACGAGACGACACTTATGTACCTGTTGTATCCCTCTGCCTGCGGCACTCGATGGAGGGGTTCGCCTTCAGCGGCGTCAGCGTAGGTTGTGTATGTACGGGACGGGCGGTTACCAAGGCTGGAGGGGGTGCCGCCAAGGGATGACGATAAAAGAACGTCGTGGTATGTAGTCGGGATAGAAACACTCGTGCGAGGACGTGTGTAGTCTATAGATGGAGCAGAGTTCAACGGTTAGTATGCATAGAGTCTGTAGACGATTTCGGTGTGCTCGAAGATCGGGACAAGCGCGCTGCAAGGGGGCGACGGCGACGATGGTTAAGGTTGAAAGCAACCCCACGTTCCCCGCATCAGTCGTCGTACAGTAGTGGGCGTGTCGGAAGCAGAGGCCAAGACGAGCGAAAAACACTTCCTTTGCGCATGTAGATATAAGATGATGGGTTCTGAATGAAAGAGGGGTCAAAACGACGAGCCAACGACTCTCCTTCGCGATTGACGAAAATGAGTTCCGCCTTGGGAGGCCAAAATGACGAGCGCAAACGGACTCTTGGCAATATTGACAGGAGATGTGTGAGTTCCGCATCGAAATTCTGTGCAAGCTCTGGTTTAAAGCGTAAAAGAAATCAAGCACGCCGACGGAATTCACGAGTTCACAGGAGAAGTAAGAACGCAAACAGATACGTAGATTGTTGGTCAGCAGATTGAACGTGAATATATCCTCACTTAGACGGGATTGAAAAAGGCGTTTTGGCACTGACGCAAGGTACTTGGATGCAAACAAGACGTGGTGGGGGAGAATGGGATGTGGACAGGGCACATGGCTGCCAACAGCCTTGACAAAACATCCCTGTGCCCCCGACGCCAGACCTAGGACGAGCTCATGAAACTCAGCCCGATTGCGACGCGACCCCGGGTTCGTACTAAAACGCCACCATACATGCGTCCAGGAGCAGATACTGCTTGTAGACTCCTTGCATAGAAGGTGCGCCCCGCATTTGACATTACTATCCCGGCCAGGCCTGTTTAGAAAGCCAGGTTGAAGCTCTGCAGTAGTCATCGATCGACTAAGTATTGTAGCTTCGATGAGAAAGAAATTATTAAATCGTTGGCAGTGACGAAACCGGAGACTTCCAAGGTGAATCTTGATCTTCGCCAAAAATATACCCAGAAATTTCCCATGACCCCAGAATGTTGGGGATTACAACGACATACGAAACGACCCATGTAGCATAAAACAAAAGAAAAAAACTGCACCGAAGCTCTAAACCCGTGAACAAACTTGATGGGGATTAGATAGGCAACGACGGCGCCCCCTAGATGCAACCTTCCATTTGATTCGGCGTCACGACGAGAGAAATGGTGCGTCGGTCGCCTTCTCAACATGACACGGAAGGCTTCGAGCGCGAGAACACAAATACACTCTATGTACGTAGCACACACGATAGGCCTAACGTGCGAAAACATGAAAAACCCTACTACGCACGTGGCATCACGTAGGCCTGATGTGCCAAAACAACAACAAAAACGCCCTACCTATCACGTAGGCCTTACCGATATGCGAATGTACAAGCCGCCATCCTTTCTACGATAAATGGAAGGGGGGCCGGCGGATGGCTCACCCGGCAACGCGAGCGTTGCCTCTGGCGGAGGCCCCTGCCGGGTGTCGGCCGCGATTCCATGCCGTAATCGCTCCCCTGCTGCGCCATTGCCTCCTCCCCCCGCCGCCGCAATCTACATTATCCAACTCAGAACGAAAACACAACAAAGAACAAACCGACGAAAAAAACCACACACGACCACAATTCAAGGGAAGGCGATCGCCGTTCTCGCGTGGAAGGCGGGCGCTCGACCGCCAACCCGGAACAAGCCACGACTGCTGGGGCGGGTGGTTCGATGGTACCAGCATCGTCCACACGCAAGACAAAGAGAGAGAGAGAGAAAGAGAGAGAAAGAGAGAGAGAGAGAGAAAGGGGGGGGGGGGGGGTCTCTCACTCGCGCGAACGGTAGCCTGCCTGCACGCAAACTCACACTGCTTCGGTTCGGCAAAAGTGTGCCGCCCGCGGCCCTTAACGAGTGCCATGCTTGCTCGAGCGGTAGCCTATTCGTCACACCGCTTCCGCTTTTGAGGCAGGGGGAAGACGACGACCAGGCTCTACTGCGACTGACCGGTGGCGGACCGCCCGTCGCCGTTTCCCTGCGGGGTGCCGTGCATGTGCTGCCACGCCGACTGGAGCTCGGCGTGAACCTCGTGTCCGTGCTTCTCGGCGAGCACCTCGGGGTCCTGCGGGAAGTCGAGAAAACGCAAAAACAAAGAAAAACATGTATCATCGTATCATACATTTGACACCGCTGCCGAACTTTTGCCGACGAAAATAAAACAGACGAATGCACACGACAGCAGCGTGCTTGGCGTTTGTTGTCCCAGTTATAGAAAAGACTGCTGTCGATTCATTTGTCAGCCATTAAGCGCGTTCGATGCTATTATATGTAATTGACAACACACATACGGCGCGAATGGTCAAAAATAGATCAAATACACACAAACGCGAGCTGGCCTCTCAAAGCGTTTGCTGTTTTCAACCGCACTGAGAGTGGCCTACTTTTTCATTGGTGAGCCAGGTAGTCCGTTCAATGCCAACAACAAAAACACACGCATGCAATGAGACCGACGTCTTGTCATTAGTCACCCGGCTACCACGTCGATGCCAACAAAAAAGACACACACACACACACACACACACACCACACCCTTTTCACCCGCACTGAGACTAACGCCTTTTCATTTGTCAGCCGGTTGGCGCGGTCGATGCCAACAAAAAAGACACACACACACCCACACACACACACACCACACCCTTTTCACCCGCACTGAGACTAACGCCTTTTCATTTGTCAGCCGGTTGGCGCGGTCGATGCCAACAAAAAAGACACACACACACCCACACACACACACACCACATCCTTTTCAACCGCACTGAGACTAACGCCTTTTCATTTGTCAGCCGGTTGGCGCGGTCGATGCCAACAAAAAAGACACACACACACCCACACACACACACACCACACCCTTTTCACCCGCACTGAGACTAACGCCTTTTCATTTGGCAGCCGGTTGGCGCGGTCGATGCTAACAAGAAAGGTACACACACACACACACACGCACACACACGCACACACACGCACACACACACACACCTGAACGAAGCAGACGAACACGGCCTTGAACCCGGACCGCACCACCTCCAGCACCGTCGACACCAGGAACGCCAGGGCCACCACGCCGAAGATCTGGGGTCCCACAACCGACCAGAACTCCACCGAGTCCACCACGGAACCATCGCCGTCCTTGCTGTCTCCCGCTGCTGCTTCTTCGTCGTCGAAGATGGCGGGGCCACCGACGCGCATGAAAGCGCCGAAGGTCATGACGCCGGTCACGAGGGCGTAGACGACCGTGGCGGACAGGGCGAGAAGGCGGAGCCCCACCTCCACCACGATGTCGTTGGCCAGGGTGGTCACGGCGCGGCGCTGGAACATCTCGCGGACTCGGCCACCGGCTGTGTTTCGTTGGGGGGGGGGGGGGGA